TCCTCTTTCTCTCCAACGTTTTTGCACTTATCTGCATATAAGACAATAAAAAACAAGAGTGCATGTGGTTTGAAAGAGGATTGGTTAAGGTGGGGAACTAGCTAAAGATGAACTAGCCATTCAGGATCAACAGAGAGTGGTAAAAGGATAAAGGAGTCCTGAATGTATGATTCGTTTCCCTGGTCTAATGCTTCAATGAGAAAATTAAGTCCAAATTAAGTCCAAATAAAACAGAGCTAGTGTATCCCTTCATCTAAATCGAAATCATTCAAATTCCTCTGGGGTACTTCGTTTCAAATGTGCTTAGCTACCGCCTAGTCTAGTCCTAAATCATGAATGAGCATGTCACTAGGAACAGTCTAAAGCACACAGTCAACTATCATTGATTCATGTTCACTATTCCCTTTTAAAACGTATTTTGTTTTGAAAACCGGTTTTGAAAAACTTTAAGGAAAATGCAAAAAATGTAGATAATGCAAGACTCATGAAAGAAAAGTGGTTAGAAAGGGATGAAATCCTCCCCCAGACTTAAATCACACTGTCCTCAGTGTGAAACAAGTCGAGATTGGATGAGAAAAATGCATAGATAATCGAACTGGTAAGGATAAAGAGAACTTACCTGGATCCGGGATGCTGGTGGAGATGAACCGGATTCATTCGAAGGAGTTTGGGAAGGTGATTAGGTGGTGATGAAGGTGGTGGAGGGTGATGAATGAGGTGGATTGGGGATTGGTGAGGTGAAATGAGGTGAAAGAGGTGGTTTGGGTCGGGTTTGGATCTCAACGACCAAGTGCCGCGGTCAGGGGCTGCACGACCGCGGCAACCAGGTGCTTGGCCGCGGTCTTATTCACGCGACCGCGGTCGATGAGTAGTTTCCCGCGGTCCGAACACCTGCGACCGCGGGGGCTTATATCGCGGCCTCTTCCTGTTTCTCCTTGGTGCCTGCTGGGCCGAGCAGTCAGGTACCATCCTTCTTTTTGGTTTTTTCTGGTTTTTTGATTTTTTTTTGCTTTTTGTTTTATAAGAAACACCTCAAACTAAGAAAAAGAAAAAGATCAAAAGAAAAAGAAAGAAAAATTCTAAGGAAAACAATACCTAAATGGGTTGCCTCCCATTAAGCGCTTCTGTTTTAAGTCGTTTAGCTCGACTTTTGGTGTTGGACGTGACTTATTCCAATGAAGAAGACCTTGTCCTGTGACAAGTCTTTTTCGACATCTCCTTGCTTTGCCTAGCAGGTTCTTCGTCACTCCAAAGTTCTTCTTCAAACTCTTCAGTTGCAGAACGTTTTCCTGCTTTGCTGTTGTATGGGACAGCTTCTGTGAAGACATCTTTGTCGGTATTAGCAAATGAAATCCTCCGGTTTGGCCAGTCCATTATAGCTCCGGAAGTTGCTAGAAAAGACCATCCCAGAATCACTGGATATGTTGCATCTCTCGTTTCGACAATGTAGAAGTCGACATGCACTATGCAATCTCCTATTCTCAAAGGAATTTCATGAGCTATTCCTTGAGGTGTTGCATTTGAATCATCAGCTAAGCTGATCTTTGCTCTAGTCCTGCGCAGGTGTCTAATACCAAGTCTCAAAGCAATTGCCTTGGACATCATGTTAAGACAAGCTCCATAATCACATAGCACGTTTTTAAACATCTCTCCTCTAATAGAACAAGAGATAAGAAACTGACCTATACCTTCTATTTTATGAAGTGTTCGAACAGGTTTACCTCTTCTGGCATGATTGAACAAGTCTTCTATCTCAGGGATTGATTCTTTGCTCTCACAGAAGTAGTGGCCTATCATGAAGTCCTTGCAAGCTTTGGCAAACGTGATTCCTTCAGGTAAATTTCGAACCACATCATTGAATTCGTCGAGCTTTTCTTTGCTGATTTTGTTGGTGTAGTGGCTGCACTCTTCCGGGTTTTTGAGGTGAATCGCATAGACAGCTGCTTCTGGTGTTGTCATGTATTGAGCTCTCATAAAGTATCTATGGATATCCTCTTTAGACGCCTTGCAGTACCTGAAAAAGACTTGCAAACGACCAAGTTTCCAGATTTCATCAAAGCTTAAATGAGCAGGGAATGACCTGACTACGTTGTTGAACTCCATTAGCTTCTATCTACTGATGTTGTTGGTGATCCATTGAATCTCTCCTGAGTCGTCTTCTGAGGAATACCCTGCGTTTGGATCTTCTACAAACAACCCATACTCTTCATCTTTAGAGTATTGTTCTTCATACTCATCTTCACAAGACAAAGCCATGTTGCAAGGCCATGACTTGTCCTCTTCTTCAGATCTTTGGGTGCTTATGGAGCAACCCAGTTGTTGATGAAGTGGTTTAGTCATCCCAGGAGGTGTACCAGACGTACAGATGCTTGTATGAGCTGAATGGGACTGTTTTGGGACATTTTTACGGTTGGCCTTGACTGCAGGTGACGCGACCGCGGGGAAACGACCATGGGCCGCGGGTAGACCCATCACGACCGGGGGGAGAGCTTCTTGGTCGCGGTCAGAGTCAACGCGACCGCAGGAGTTTGTCTCCGAGCTGCTCTGCTGCTGTTGCTTCCTCCTTTGCCTCCTGGGTGGTCTCCTGGGTCTTCTGGCTTGATGTACTTCCTCTCTGGACTTGAGTCTTTAGTTTTGGTTGCTGGGGTATGCTCTCCAAGTCCTTGCATGATCTCCTCAACCTTTTCTTCAACTTCATCAAGAGCATAGACTACTTTGTCCATGGTTGAGTCAAGCTCTTCGGTTTTGTCGATGACTTTGTACACCTTCTCTGAAACTTTGACTGTAAAGTCATAAGACTCGTTCTTAGCTTCGTTTAGGGCTTTGTCCACATCATCAAGCTTGAAATCCAGGTCCATGACTTTGTTTTTGGTGTCGTGAAGCTCATTGTTGTGCTTTGCTTGCTCTTCCTCCATTCTGTTGAACCTGTTAGCAATCATAGCTGCATCCTTGGTTGCATGTTCTTCTATTGAATTGACTTGTGAGGCTAGGTTATCGATTTTTTCATTGAAAAGTTTCGATATCCCATCAATCCTTTCGTTTAGAGCAGTTGTATCGGTTGCTTGAGCTTCTATGAATTGTTTGATCACGCCTTCGAGCTGACTCAGTCTATTGCTCAGCTGGACGTTCTCATCTTGCTGGAGAACCTGGTGAGGTAGGCGATGCATAGAGTATCTAGGGTTTGCCATTTGAGGTGCGTAGGGCTCTTTCTGGAACGTTCTGTAGTCTTCGGGTTGAGTTTTTTCAGAGAGATCGCGTAGATGCTTCTCTCTGCGCCTGGTGGCTTGAGGAGTGTTATAGAAACCTTCCTCCTTTTTTTTTATTTCGATTTATAGGATCCATATCTTCTGAAATGGAAACAAAATAACCGAAAAATGGAAAGTTGCAGAAAAGGGGGTTCTAGAGTCGATTTACTAACCTTTCTCGGGGTTTTGCAGAAAAGAAAACGCGTGCCTTCCCCGGCAACGGCGCCAAAAACTTGATGTGTCGTCTTGATGTATGGGTTGTGGGTTGTCAAGTTTTACCCTAATTGAAATCAATAGCCGCAAGTGCATAGCTGATCAATTGTAGTACTTAGGGATCGAATCCACAGGGAAGGAGGATCTTTTTCTGCAAAAAGCCTTTGAAATAAGTTAAAGTAAGGAAGTCTAGAACAAAAACGGTTTAGTGGGGGTTTGGTAGTGTGTTTAAAATCTAAAAACGAAATATTAAAAGAGAATACAGAAAGTAAATGACGTAATAACTAAACTTAATGAAAATGACTAAAAATAATAAAAACGGATATTCTAATGCTTAAATGAAAATGAACTAAAAAGGAAAGACAATATTGAACTAAAGCTTAAAGAAAAATCGCAGGAAATCAATGGAGAAAAAAGCGTTGGGGTTCAGGGAAGTTTTCTCAGGGGTACGAACGATTCAAAACATTGCTAGAGAGTAAATTGATAAGATCTTAGCTTAAACTTTTCGAACTGGAGTCACGGACGTATGAATACGCCACTGTCGTGATCATAGACAACTATCTCTCTCAACCCTGACCAGTAGGTTTCCACTCTGGCCCTGGAAGAGAAGAGATGCATTATGTTTAAGACTCGTCCTAATTCACAAATCGCCCATAGGTAGGTTTCCACTCATATGTTTGTTTTGCTCTCCCAAACTAGATCTGATACCTGATGAAAACTTTCGTGTCACCAAGCATCTGGATCAGATTGTAGTTCATGACGCTACTCTCATGCAGTAAAAACGAATTCAGAAGAAAAAGTTCTAAGATTCAGCTCAATAGCCAATGGAATCCTCATCGAACATATAAATCCCCATCAAAAATCCCTTAATCCCAACAATAAAACTACTCAGACATAATGAACGAAATCAAAGACATAATATTAAGAAGTAGAATAGAAAACTGAAATTGAAAAAGAAAGAACAAGGGTTCAAGAGAACAAATCTCTCTCTCCCTAAAAGCTAAAGCAAAAACAATAAGAATATGAAGTAAATATTTCGGTGGTCTCTAAGGTTACACGATTTCTAGGGATCCTAAAACATGTATTTATAGTGCTCAAGACCTCTCTGGACGTCACTTAGGGTTTCTCCAAATGTGGGCTTCAGAAATGGGCTTTTTGGGCTCGGAGGTTGAAGGCCGCGGTCGGGACAAGTGTGACCGCGGTGGATGAGTGATTTGCCGCGGTCGGGATACTCCTGACCGCGGGAAAATGCTTGTTGGCCGCGGGTGGAAGTTCTGGCCAGCTGGTTTACGGGACATCTTGCTCTTCGCGTATCTTTTGATTGAACCGTTGGATTGCCAAGATGTAAATTGCACTGGAAAGCTGATACTTCCATCTTTAAGGTCTCCAAATTTTAGCTGGATCAGACGGTGAGAAGGCCTTCAATCAGGGGTGAACTTCTGACGGTTTGACTCTGAGCTGAAATCTGGTTTTCTATCCATTTTGTTAAGCTTTTCCCTAAGTTACGTGAAAAGAGTCTTGAAACTACAAATACTAGAAAAACGTAATAAAAGTACTTAAAAGCAATTAAAAACATAGAAAAAGTATTTCAAAACGATCCATAAAAGTGGTCAAAATACGGTGTTATCATCCCACCATTTTGGCTTTCATTCTTTACGGTGATAACCATAAGCACCAACGACACCTAAGGGATAACAAAATCATGTGAACTGCAGAACATACACTAAAAATAACTATATAAGCAGTATGAAGATTGGATTAGGGAAAGTATATACCCATGTCTCCTTTCAACATTAGCTCTACCAATTCATCCTAATCAGCTCGAGATGTAGCAAAAGGAGTCACTAAGGGTTCCAACAGTCCTGAAAAACGTATTTTAGAACGCAAAAATGTTGAATACAACAATATTTCACAGACATTATAGGTAGTTGCAGGCCATTAGACATGACCAAATACGTCAAGAGACATTTAGTCTACAGATAATAATTAGATGTTGAATACGCTCCACTAACCTGGCTTTCTTGATCGTCCCTATCTCGACCTTTTGAATGACAAAAAAGCCACAAAACTGTAACTATCAAACTTCAAGCCTCTTAAACGGAGCTTTTAAGGTTAGCTTTAAGATGTGACAGAATTTGCTTATTACCTGGAGAAGTCAGAATCTCTTTCAAATGGATGACATTTTCATGATGAAGCTCCTTCAAAATTTTTATCTCCCGGATCGCTATTATTGGAAACTTGGAAGCAGACAGTTATAAGGGATATATATAAGTCATGTGGGATTCTAAAAGTTTCCAAATTTTCTAAGTCAGAAGCAGAGAAACTAATCATCTTTGCGGCCGAATGCGTTGTTAGACCCTTCACATCTACAGTTTATGGAACATCCCACACCACCCTGTAAAGAAACATCAGACCAAATAATAAACATCAGACCAAAGGAGGTTAACCAGGTAGATCCATCAGAAGATAATAACAAAAACCTGAAAGCATTCGCAATATTTCTTCAGACAGTTTGATTTTTTGCAGTTGCAGCCACGTTTACGGCGTGCAGAAGCTAGAGTTTGCTTGCATCATCCTGTGTGTCATTACAATTTTTATTATCCCTTCAAGCAAGATATAGGAATGGTGGAGAGGAATAAGAGAACCGGGATAAAGGGTTCTTACCCCAGTTTCTATAACCGAATCAGAGCTCCTAATGACTTTAGGAGCAAATGCAAGTGGGTTCCGAGATTCAATCTGTTTGCGACCAATACTCGGTAAAACACATCTCGACGAGGATTCACAAGCCGAGTTGTTACTCTCACTCGATGTTTGCTTATTCCCAGGAATCTCAAAGTCCAAGCAACGTTTTCTTATACCTCGGTGCATGAATGAAACAACCTATCACACACACACAAAACAAACACCAAGAAGACAACTCTTTCAGAGGCATTGATCATTTATAAAGCACTGAAGATAAACTAACTGAGATGTTAGAGCTCACCTCACAAGGAATCGCATCCGAGGACTCCGGTTCATTGTCTGAACTTGGCTGCATCTTTGGTATCTCCACACCAGAGGTTGATGCTCTCTGCATCATAAGGCATCTAAAAGCCTCTGAATCATTAGGTGAGCCGAGGATCAACAGTTCAGAAACATCTGAAATCAAACTTTCCATTCCGAAGTTTCGTTTTTCCCTTGAACATTCTCATCATACATCTTCTGCAGCTCCATTCCTGCAGTATCCTCAGGTGAATTAGTCTCTCCATGAGGAGGAGAGTATGGAACAAGCGAAAGATCATCGACTGTCTCTCTGCCACAAGGTGAAGCAGCAACGGGATCATCACGGTCATACTTGATGATTTGTGGCAGCTCCATTCAATTGACCAATGGAAGCATCTCCTGCTTCTGCTGCAAATTCTTCATTAGAAGTAGATTCTTCCACGGGATTGGTAGATTCTTTCCACAAAACAAACTAAAGAACAAAACCCAGAGAAAAGAGACAGCAATTAAGAACAAGAAGAAGAAGAAGAGGGAAACCCGTAAACCGTAATCTTCTCGAAGCAATCGCGGGTCCGATCTGAAGACCGACTTTCATATAATCTTTGAAGTAGCAAGGGTATAAATGGAGGGGACATAAAGTTCATTTGTGGCAGTCAAATCGTTTAAACTTTTCAAGGATTAAACGCTTAGGAAACCCAGATGGAATGAAGAATTGCCCGTCCGAGAAGATGAAGAGAGGCGGGTTTTTTTCCTTTTAACATGCCACGTGTCAACTTTTACAATGCTGACGTGTCAAACAGCTAGAAAGAGTTGATCACGTTTTATAGTATAGATATTTCTCGTCCGTAACCTGTGGCGGAATGCGGTCCACCAAAAAATTAAATCCACAATGGACTGGGCTACGTGGACGCTGGTCAGCCCGTCGGATATCTCCTTAGCGTCTTGCGGTTCGATACATTTCAAAATGGCACCGTATTGTCTTTATGTAATCCGTAACCTGTATTATCAATTTTGTTTCAATCGCTGAAACCCAAAACCCAATCTTAACCTTTCTTCTCAGTCGTAATAATGTCTTGGCTCTCTAAATCTCGCAGCGATGATCCCGAACCTTCATCTCCCTCCGGCACCAGCCATGGAGGTGGTGTCAAAGAAGATCTCTCTTCCCTCGGTCTGACCATCGGTCGCCAGCTCCGTGGCGTTGCAGCTTTCCTAGCGCCGCCTCCTTCCCCACCGTCCGATCCAGTAAAAGAACGCCTTTCGACGGATTCGCCAACGCAGCTTGCAATACTCGGGATCCGGAACGATCTAGCCGAGATTGGTGGAAAATTCAAGACTGGAATATCCAATTTCGCATCGAATCTGCTTCAGTTTCCTAGTAATATCTACGAAGGTGACAGAGACAGTCGAAGATCTCGATTTGATAATGATCAATTTGATAGAGTACCTGGGATTTCTGAAGAAGTTTTGGATTTCGCTATTAAAATCTCGAGTAGACCAGGTTGCTGGACAGATTTTCCTTTGTCACTCAAGACTGGTAATTTACTTACCTCCATAAAAGTTGGAGATTTGTTATTTTTCTTGTGTTATGCATTGTTTGCAGGTATTGCTATTACTTGATATAGGGATCCTAACATAGGTTAGTAAAAGATCAATTCTTAAGTATTGACATAGTTCATAGTTGACTTTTTTCAGTGGCAATACATGATTGTGACAAAATTTTTGGGTAAAGATTTGATTGTTTCTAGAGTTTACTGGCTGTAGCTTCTCTTTCTATCTAGAGGGATCTCTAGCGATTAAGATTAGGGTTGATTAGTTCCAGTAGTTTCGTCTTGGGATATATTTCTTCAACCCGGGATCTTTAGGATCTCAAGGATTCGATTACTTTCTGTAGATCACAGACCTGAAAATACTGGTTTTATTATTTATAACCAGAAACATATCTTGTCTGTACAACCCACTATGTAGCAATTGCTAATCCTGAAGCTGGGAATCTCTTTTGTCTTGTGGTTGTGGGGAATTCAATGGATTTCGGAATCATAACAAGTGCTAATCCTGAAGCTGTAAGAATTTGTTAGTAGAAGATGAATCTGCAAGTGGCCAAACGTTATTGTTACGAAAGCCTTGTGTGCATTATTATACCTATTCACTGGATATAATAATCATAACAAGTACTATTCCTGAAGCTGTAAGAACTTGTTCTTAAAAGATGAATCTGCAAGCCAAACATGATTGTTTTTTATTTCCAAGGCCATATCTTCATTCTGTACAAGCCAGTATATAGTCTGGGGTAGCATGGAAATATTGTCGAAGCACTTACAGGAAAAAAGCTTTGGTGGTTAATCATTGGTGTTTCTATTTCTTTATGTTCCTTTTCTAATTTGCTGCGTTTTAGGTGTTAGGTCTCGATTGTAAGAATTATCCAAGCAAGAGAGAGTTTTGGAAGGGTTTAACGTTTATCCGAGGGAAGAGAACGTAGTTCTCTTTGGGAAGTTTTTGATCTTGTATCTATTTGCTACTATTTAATAAAGTTGTTTGACTTTCAATTCGATTCTATCTCTAACAGGTTTATAGATATTTTGCTGTGGAATATCATTTGTCTTGTGTTTCTGCATTCCTTGCAAGGATACCTAATCAATAGGTACAATAAACATTAGAAGTGCTAATCCTGAACCTTTAAGCATTTGTTTATAGCAGAGGCCGAATTCCCAAGTGGCAAACATGATTTTTACTGAAGTTTTTATTCTATGCTTCAGTTTTTCTTTTTTCTTGTTTTAGTGGACCTTTTTCGGAAAAGATTGCTTGTTTCTATAGCTGATTTACCGTAGCTGCACCCACTAGCTATAGGGATATATCTTTGGATTAAGATTAGGCTTGACCGGTCCAGCAGTCTTCTCTTGGAATATAAGTCTTCAAGCTGGGATCTTCAGGATCTCAAGGTTACCATTACGGTCTATAGATCACATTTCCGTATATCGCTTTTGGCACAGAGCTTAAATCTTTGTTTTTTATGTCCAAAAACATATCTTCATTCTGTAAGCTTGAAAATATTGTCGAAAAACTGGTGGTTTATTATTTTGCCTATTAATCTGGCTGATCCAAACAACGGCGAGGAAATGTTTCATTTAGTGAATTGTGCTGAAGGTTTTTCTCTAACTTCCCATATCGACATTGCAGAATTTGAGTTGTCTGCGGCTCAAAGAGCACATGCATCTGCCATTGAACATCTGGTTCCTGGCATTGCAGCTGTGAAGAATGAAGTCAGCAGTTGCATGGATAATGAACATTTTTGGCTGATATACTTTATTTTACTGATGCCGAGACTCAATGGACATGATTTTGAGCTTTTAGCAACCTGCAAGGTAAGTTTTTTATAGTCGACATGCATCCTTCTGAAATGTCAGTATCTGATCCAATATCTTAATTCTTAAACATCTCAAAACGAAAAGCCAGGGTACATTATAATGAAACAAGTTAGCCTCTGGAAATGCTGTAAATGTTTTTGTCTGATGCTTTTGACATTTCATGGTTCTTTATATTTTTTTTGTATTGTTATGCTTTTTTAATAGGTATGTTACCCAATTCTGAATCTTACGATAATGATATTATTGTGTGGCACAGGTATTTGAAACAAGGGATCAACTTTTACTAAAGCTGCAAAATAAGGAGATAGCTGGGTCAAGCCCGAGCTCTGTTAGTCATGAAAGCAGTAGGGAAACCGAAACCGTGGAGGGGGTCATTGACAATATGGAGGCTCTGAAATTTGAGCAGAGAGAGACAAGTGATGAATCATCTGAAGAAAGACGGAGAAGTTTCAGGGATGAAGAAGAGATCATCTCCTTCAGTGATTTAGATGTAGACGATCTCTCTGAGAAGCCATGTTCCAACAGGAGTAGTACACTGAAAAGGCGAGCATCAAACGCAAGCGGTTCAAGCGACTGGGTTCAGCTTAACAGGGGTCAAGGTGGACACAGCAAGGACTCAGAAGGTGATTCTAGTGACTGGCTTCCAATCGGCGATTCTGACTAACGTTTTAAGGTACTATTGGATATTACTGTAAAGTGAAGTGTTAGCAATGACTGTTGAACGAAAGTACGTGGTGTTTTTTTCTACACCCATGCACATTTACATATTAATAAAAATCTCACTGTGTAGTATGGAGAGGCTACGTGGTGTTTTTTTTCTACACCCATGCACATTTACATAATAATTAAAATCTCACTGTGTAGTATGGAGAGGCTACGTGGTGTTTTTAGAGTAGAATGTATTCTGTATATCGCCTTCATATATAATTATATGGTGCAAAACAAATATTAAAATGCGACATCCTCTAGTAAACTAACAAATCACAAATAGTATAATCGAAAGAAAAAGAAACAGTATATGGTTTTATCATGTACTGACTGTCTAATTTTTTTTGAGAGACGTATTAATATTTTTTTGTGATTTTGTTTTGTTTAACTTAATTATAAAAGTAGTAGTAGTACTATTATTGCTCCATGAAATTTTTGTATTATATCAAACTATCTTGTTTTATTCTATGTTGAATGTAACATGTTTATTTTATATTAAACTTTCGATCTTCGTTTTCGTTTCCTTTTTCTCCAATTACTCTAGTAATCTTTTAATAATATTTACCTTATCATTCATGTTGAAATATCTGCGGAATATGAAAGAATAAACGAGAATGGAGGGAAATGATAAAGAGAGATTTTGAATCAGTGGAGAGTTTCTCCAAAGTGTGTGTCTCATTACATCGGACATACATATATAGGGAGACAAAGTGATATGATCGTGACCAGCTCAGAGGAGGAGGAACCAGAGGTAGCTGACAGGATTACTCGTTCTAGAGCTAGAGAGATGGCTAAGGAGGCTCACGCACTCATAGCTGCAGAGGACATCGATCAACTGGAGGCTGGAGCTCACATCTTCAATATCTCTATCTTGAAGAATGAAGAACCCAGTAACAATGACTAGGTAACTTAGGTGATGATTCTGTACTCTTTTCCTTGGTGAGGATTTTGGAAGGCAAGGAGGTTCTTCTCCAAGGTTTTTAACGAGGCAGAAATCATTGCTACGTCGAGTTACTTAGAAGTTGTTACTAATGGGTAATAATGTGCAAAGTCACAATGACTTGTGCACTAGTTGTTTTAGGCGCACCACTTAGGATTTAGAAGGGACGCCTCGCTGTTTTATTTTTTTAATCAAACTTCGTGTTGTTTTTATTTCAGACTTCATGTAGTTTTGTATTAGGGCTGCGATTTCTCTCTAACTCTATTTAAGAGAGAAAATCGCCTAAGTATTATTCAGTGAAGAATTTTGATCAAACTTTTAACGTGTTCTTCTCTCTTTGATTTCTGAGAACTAAAAACTCTGAAATTCGAATCTCTTAAAAACTAACTTGTTTACAAGAGATTCTTCTATCCCTCCATTTTATCGATATCATCTCATCATCAACCACAACCGATCATCACACCACGTCCACCCTCTCATCGCACTTGATCCGCTGAACCACCATCACCATCTTCGACTCGATTCTCAAGCCATCGCCACCATCGAATTGATCATCACCACCCATCACCTCATCGCTATAGTCTGTCCACAAATCGCAGCATCTGTTGCCTTTTCTTCAGAGTTGATCACCTAGGATCGTATCACAAAGAGAATACAAAACCCTAGAGACTAGTGCAAGACAGCTATTAAAAGATAGAGTAATGCTCGTGATAGCGACCTGACCTCGTACCAATACGCGCTAAGGGTTACGAGTCATAATATCTCCAAACGGCTCTCTTAGATATTTCTTCTAAGCTTGTAACGGCTCTTTTCTTGTCACCAAAACTCCTTTTAAGGCCTTTATTCTCGTGTCCACCATATTATTGGGCCTGCTCAATACTCCCCCTCAAGCTTAGCCTTAGAGAAATCAAGACTAAATTTGGAGGCCCATAGATCATCACTTCATTAAAAACCTTAACATAGAAAACCACTTGGGAAAAACTATGTTAAGGGAAAAAGAGTATGATGTCTATGAGCAAGGGAAGCTTGAAATCAAGCCTGAGAGATGTTCACAAGCCCAAGTTTGCTGTAGATGTGATCACAGACCTTGAGGCTTACGACTTTGGTGAAGATATCTGCTAGCTGGTCTTCACTCTGAGTGAAACATGGAAGGATGGTGCCATCTTCAATCTTCTGTCTGACCTTGTGACAGTCCACCTCTATGTGCTTTGTTCTCTCATGAAATACAGAGTTGTTGGCAATGTGAATGGCCGCCTGATTGTCACAATGGAATGTCATGGGTCTCGAGACTATAATGTTAAGATCTTTAAGGACAGCCTTGAGTCATGTGAGTTCATTTGCCAGCTTCTTCATTGCACGGTATTCTGATTCAGCGCTTGAATCAGACACCACTTTCTGCTTCTTTGTCTTCCAAGTCACCAAATTTCACCAATAAACGTGCAATATCCAGTTGTAGACTTTCTATCATTCATGTCTCCAGCCCAATCAGCATCACAATAGCCTACTATCTCGGTGCTTTCATTCTTTCCCATCCAAATGCCTTGGCCTGATGTTCCTTTGAGGTATCTGAGAATGCGTTCCACCATGTTCCAGTGATAAACCAACAGCTTTTGCATATGCTGGCTCACCTGATTCACAGCAAAACATAGATCAGGCCGTGTAAGTGTTAAGTAAATTAACTTACCAACTAGGCGTGTATAGAGAGAGATGTATGTCTCGGAATGGTTCCTCCTCAGCGTGCTCCCCCTTTCGCATGACCTTATAGCCTTCTTCAAGAGGATTTTTCGCCGGCTTGGCTTCAAGAAATCCTGTGTCAGACAAGAGATCACGAGTGTACTTTCGTTGGGATAAGAAGAGGCCATCATTAAACCGGCACACTTTGATCCCTAGAAAGTATTTAAGCTCACCAAGATCTTTAATATCAAATACAGATTTAAGAAAATCTTTAGTGGATTGGATACCTTCTTTGTTGTCTCCTGAGATCATAAGATCATCTACATAGTTGAGAACAACAACAATACCTTGTGGACTCTGAAGGGTGAACAATGTATGATTGGCTTCAGATTTCTTGAAGCCATGATCTCAGAGGGTGAAGCTGAGCTTATGGTACCATGCTCTAGGGGATTGCTAGAGGCCATAGATAGCTTTTCTAAGTCTTAAAAATTTTCTCGGAGCAAAGCTATCTTCGAGGGCTGGTGGTGGCTTCATATAGACCTCCTCTTCAAGCTCCCCCTGAAGAAATGCCTTTTTCACGTCCATCTGCCATAGCTCCCAATCCAGGTTAGTGGCCAAAGAAAGGACAACTCTCACCGTTTTAAGATTGCCCACTGGAGCAAAGGTGTCGGTATAGTCATCTCCATAAGTCTGAGTATACCCACGAGCCACCAAGCGAGCCTTATGCCTTTCTATGTCGCCATTGCTCTTATACTTGATGGTAAATATCCACTTGGAGCTGACAGCTTTCTTGCCAACAGGGAGATCAGCTCTCATCCTAAGTGTGATTCTTCTCCATAGCATCTTTCTCATTTTGAACAGCATTAACCCAAACTGTATGCTTCTTAGCTTCATCAAAACTTTGTGGGATCTCATGCATCTCAACTTTCCCAAGAAAGGCTCTATGAGTGATTGGTATGAGGGCATGCGAACAAAGTGTCTGAGGAGGGTGAGCAACAGCTTGATTGTTGTAATATACCCTTGTGTTGACCCAGTTGGAAAGGTCTTTCCTGAGCCGTGAACTTCTTCGCAAGGCCGGGACCTGAGGTTCAGCCTCGACTGTATCTTCACTATTTGGAACAGCTGTTTCCCCAACTATCTCATCAGTATCTTGGGATATATTCGACCCTGGGTCCTGATCTTGGTTGGAATCATCATCTAAAGTCTCTGCCTCACCGGGATCACTTGTAGACGGAGGGTGAGGCTGGCTTTGTTCCTCCCGCGGTCGGCCTTGATTATCATTTCCAAGATGATCAAGTAGGAACCTTAAGCTTGTTGCACGGTCGCCAGGGGAGTTAGAGAGGTCTTTGAGTTGCTCCCAATCCTTATTGGTATAATAACCCTGATCCTCCATAAACTTGACATCTTTTGAAACACTGGTTCGGTTTGTCGATGGATCAAAGCATTTGTACCCCTTCTGAGTCGTGGAATAACCCAAAAAGATACATCTGTTGCTTTTAGCTTCGAGTTTGTTCCTTAGATCACCTGGAACTAAGACATAGCACAAACACCCAAATAACCTTACGTGATAAAGAGATGGTTTAGTCTTGTTTAATACCTCAAAAGGAGAACAGTCTGTCAAGACTCGAGTGGGGGTTTTGTTAATCAGGTAGCAAGCTGTCATGACCGCATCTCCCCAAAAGCGTTTTGGTACGTTGGTGTGGAACATCATAGACCAAGCCACCTCCATTAAGTGTCTGTTCTTCCTTTCAGCCACGCCATTTTGTTGTGGTGTGTAAGGACAACTTTGATAAGTGTTCTTTGAACCGATGGCTGGTATACTCTCCTCCATTTTCTGATCTTAAGACTTTAATCTTGGCATTAAACTGGTTAGTGAAATAGTTTTGAAAATTTATAAATGCATCATAGACTCGATCTTTGAAAGGAAGTAAAGTGGGCCATGTATACTTTGATTTCTCATCTATAAATGTCACAAAATATTTGTTATTGTCCCTAGATAGACAAGGAGAGGTCCAAACATCAGAATGAACTAAATCAAAGCAATTTTCATAGATTGTTGTTGATTTTGGACATACATTCTTGCAATGTTTACCAAGAATACACGCCTCACAACTCAAATGGTCAAACATGACCTTAGGTAACATTAATTCTAATGCACGAGAATGAGGATACCCTAATCTAGCGTGCTAAACAGAGCTTAAACTAGAAGCTTAACAAGAACTAGATGCAATAAAACTTGGTGATAAGTCTTCAAGAACATATATCTCATCCTTGACTCCACCTTTTCCAAGAACTTTTCCACTTTCAATATCCTGAAAATGCACATCATTAGGTCCGAATATAGCTTTACAATTCAAATCTTGAGTTGCTTTTCTAACAGACATTAAATTCGATGCGAATTGTGGCATAAAGAAAGCCTTAGAGTTCTTGTTAAAGAAGTTCAAGTTACCAATGCCTTCAACTGGAATTTTGTCACCATTTGCAATCACAACATTTCCT